CAAACAGGCCTTATGAGGATAAGCCATCCTGTAGTAGTAGTAGTGTGTATCATCCTTGGGCATATGTACCTACTTATTTCCGCACGTCTGTAAAAAAACTATTGTACAGGGTGTTTGTTTATAAATGGAACACTCAGTAACTTTTTTATTATTGAAAATAAAGGACATGTTCAAATTGGAAAATTTCTTGATAAATTGCAGCGATCTCAATCGCTACAACTATTTTTTTTTTCGCCATATGTATACAGGGTGCGCCAAAAAAGTCATTTTTTTTAAATGGAACGCCCTGTATATTTTTGCATTTTTGAAATTCTTAGAAAATTAGCTTCACAAAAATATCAAACACTATTTGAATAACCAAAATATGTAGGGCGTTCCATTAGAAAAAAAAATACCTTTTTGTCGCACCCTGTATACCTTTTACGACAAAAAAATATCGTTGTAGCGCTTAAGGTTGCAATTTACAAAGAAATTTTCCAACTTAAACATGCCCTTCATTTTCAATAATAAGAAAGTTACTGAGTGTTCCAGTTATGAACAAACACCCAGTACCTAACACATGCGGAAAATCTGTCTTCCGAACTTGGCTGCTTCACCGAATTCCGCTACGCGTCTTTGGGTGAAGGACAGACTCGTGCGGAAAAATTCATTTTTCGCACTTGTTAGGTAAATATATTCTGTACTACCAACAAATAACGAAACCGAACTCTGATAGCGAATTCCATTGGAATAAAGGTTAGTGCGCACTGAGTGTATTCGTATCTTATTCTACCAGCTTATATAAGAAAGAGATAAAAATACACTCTTTCACACTGATTTTACCAATGGAATTCGCTATGAGAATCGCCTAAAACTTTTCAATTATAGGCATAGCGAATTCTATTGGTAGGATTAATACAAAAAATTTATTTATCTCTTTCTTATGCAAGCTAATAGAGAAAGATATGAATACACTCAGTGTGCACTATCCCTTTGAATAGAATTCGCTATAAATGGCATGCGGGCAGTCCGGACACTGTGCAAACTAGAAAACAAGTTAGGGCCAGTTGCTGAAAAGTAAAAATATAAAAAATAGATTTATTTGTTAGGTGTAGGGTACATTTTTTTCGTCCATCGTAACGATCTTGGGGGGGGTAATTACCCCCATTACCCCCCCCTTGTATACTCCGGTGGCTTGAAAAGTAGTTCTCAGAAAACATAGTTTTGTTCATACAGGGTGTTGCAAAAAATTTAAAAAACAAAAAGATATTTTTTTTAAATGGGACACCCTGTATGTTATGAAATTTCTGGATTCTGCGGAAAATTCTAGAGATATTTCATGACGTATAATGTCATATACCTATCTTCAACTGTTTCGGAAATAATGACAGTAGAAAATTGACTTTTTGCATCTTTGGCAGATTGTAAAACCCAAACCGTTGATTTTACAGCAAAACCGATCATATATGCTTTTTTTATTTTTCCATAAAATATCATTTGATACCAACTTTGAATTTAATCGATGATTGAAAATTCCAATTAAATTTAATCTCTGGTTAAATTCAAAGTTCGAGTCAAATGCTAGCTTATGAAAAGCTGCAGACAAGAATGTAAAATCGGTTTTGCTGTAAAATTAACAGTTTATAGTCCAGGAGGCAGCGTCGAAAACATGTAAGAGTTTTCGGAAGGCTGATATTTTCAAAATAGGTTGTACTTTAGTGATAGAAAGCCTGTGCAGTCAGCACTTACAGTTCCGGGACAGCTGGCGCTGAGACGCGCGCAGAGTTGTAATTTTAAGAAGCATCTTTTAAACTGTTTTCTCAAAGCTCAAAATTTGAAGACACCGAGCAAATATAATATAAAACAGGAATCTAATAGTCAGACAGCGAAATATGGGGACCCCTAGCGTCAGCGTTATACTTCATACCTGTCAAAAAAAAAATCCTGACCCAAAGAGTTTTCTGAAGGCTGAAACTTTTCAAAATAATAATTACAATTATAAAGTTGATAAAAAAGACAGTCAGACTCCTTTGTGATAGAACCACTCCAGTCAGCAGTCTATAGAAATCAGAATTGTAACTGCGCGCATAAGTGATTCAGTTATGTCTAGGAAGTGGTTTTGAAGGTACGGAAGGAATTCGGACGTAAATGTATCAAATATCGATAATAAGAAAACGCTAAATATTTCAATGTGGTTGTTAAATCTCTTCTTATTCATTAACTGATTTTATTCAATTTTGTCTATTATGAAAAGTAAACATTTTCTAAAGATACCATCAACTTTTTTCAATTTGGCAAACATCCAACCTGGATGAACCTGATTGGTGGAGTTTCTGGCCAGATCGACGTTGCCATAGGGCACCATGCGGTTGCCATGGAACTTACATCTCGCTATTGACCAGGGCTCTCGTGATTTTATCCTCCCATCTTGAAATATCGACCTATATTGAAATATCCAGTGGCGGTGGAGTGGTCATTGGTCATTGTCGATTTAATGTCAATAACTTTTCACAACAATACATCATAATTTTTTTAATCAATAATTTTTCAATACTTTCAAGTATTTGGAACGAAAAATGATAAAATGAAACTATATAATATGTATATAGGTAAATCAATTTTTTTCAAAGTATTCTTGACAGTAGTTGTGAATAGTGTGTATTCAGTGACGCATTGAGAAAATATTATGGAAAAATCGTGTGAGATTTGTGTATTTTGCATAAAAAAAGGAGGCAGCATATAGGTTATTATATAGGTATAGGTATAGGTTATTTTATTTTATCATTCTTCGTTCCAAACAACTAGAATTGAAATTTTATTTTATTTTTTTTCTGAAAAGTTATAAGTTTCAGCCTCCAGAAAACTCTTTGAGTCAGGACATTTTTTTGACAGGTATGGAGTAGCGCTGACGCTATGTGTCCCCATATCCCGGAACTGTAAGTGCTGACTGTGCACAGGCTTTCTACTACTAAAGTACAACCTATTTTGAAAATATCAGCCTTCCGAAAACTCTTGCATGTTTTCGACGCCAGTTCCCCAACTATTAGGTTTTACAGCCTGTCAAAGTTGCAAAAAAGTAAATTTTCTACTGTGATTATTTCTAAAACAGTTGAAGATAGGTATATGACATTATACATGAAATATGTCTGGAATTTTCCACAGAATCCAGAAATGTCATAATATACAGGGTTTCCCATTTAAAAAAAAATATATTTTTTTTGTTTTTTAAACTTTTTGCAACACCCTGTATGAACAAAACTAAGTTTTCTGACAACTATTTTTCAAGCACTACACCCTCGACTGCACCTTTCCTATTTACATTTTTTTATACAGAGTGGCACAAAAAAGTTGAGGGGGGTTGGAAAATATAAAAAATGACCCTGTACAAGTAATTTGATTTTCAAAGGGGGAAGTTTTCTGTAACCTTTTTTAGCACTTCAACTTCAAGCCTCTAGGCGTGGTGGGACAAACCCTTACTATTTTAAATGGAACATGGGGTCGAGTGATACATCTTTTGAAAGAGCGTTCAATTCTCTTTCATTTGATACCATTTGGAAGTAAATTGAACGCTCTTTTAAAACAGGTATTACTTGACTCCCTGTTCCATTTGAAATGGTAAGGGTTGGTCCTACCCCCCTAGAGGGTTAAATTAATGCTGAAAATGTTTTTTCCTACGAGCGTGCGCAAAGAAGTACTTTTCCGCACGCATTCCAGGGCTCAAAGTTACACTTTTCCGCAATCAGTGCGGATACAGGCCTTATCCGCACTGAGTGCCGAAAAGTAAAAATACTTGTCAAGCAACAATAAGTGCACCTGTCGACTTTGACACATGATGACAAATTTTTTCTCGGTTTCTATATCAGCCAACATCAATACAAACACCAAATATAAATTAACCTTGACACATTGTCAGATTTGTTCTCTATTTATATGCAAGAATCTACAAACTTTATCATCAAATTTAAATGCTTTAAGATGAACAGCTCTGACGAGGATTTTCTGTTATTTTTTTTATTAGGTAATTTTTTGATAAATGTATAGGTTCGCTTCAAGTTAATTAAAAATAATTGAACAAATTATGGGTTTAAAAAAAAAAAAAAATCTTGTTACCTACCTGATATGAAGCTCGTAGGAAAAATGTTGTTCCTAACACGTGCGCAAAGTGTCTTTTCCGCACGCAAACACGTATCCGAACTCCGCTTCGCGTCGTTCGTATAACTGTGTTTGCGTGCGGAAAAGTGACACTTTGCGCACTTGTTAGGAAAATAACTATTTCCTACGAGCGTGCGCAAAGTAGTACTTTTCCGCACGCATTTCCGGGCTCAAAGTTACACTTTTCCGCACTCAGTGCGGATACAGGCCTTATCCGCACTGAGTGCCGAAAAGTAATTATAATTGTCAAGCAACAATAGGTGCACCTGTCGACTTTGACACATGATGACAAATTTTTCCTCTGTTTCTATATCAGCCAACATCTATACAAACACCAAATATAAATTAACTTTGACACATTGTCAGATTTGTTCTCTATTTATATGCAAAAATCTACAAACTTTCTCATCAAATTTAAAAGCTTTAAGATGAACAGGTCTGATGAGGATTTTCTGTTATTTTTTTTTGTTATGTAATTTTTTGATAAATGCATAGGTTCCCTTCAAGTTAATTAAAAATAATTAAACAAATTATCGTTTTTTTTTAAATTTTTGTTATTACCTACCTGATATGAAGCTCGTAGGAAAAATTTTGTTCCTAACACGTGCGCAAAGTGTCTTTTCCGCACGCAAACACGTATCCGAACTCCGCTTCGCGTCGTTCGTATAACTGTGTTTGCGTGCGGAAAAGTAACACTTTGCGCACTTGTTAGGAAAATAACTATTAACTCACACAATCAAATTATGTGTACGAGTGATTTAGAAAAAAAAAAACAAAAAAAAAGTGACATCAGATATTTAGCCTGTTAAATGGTATACCCTGTATAGATCGATTTGGTTCCCGGCGGGACAACCTGTATAAGATGTCACCTTTGTTGGCTGCCTCCCATGCTACTTCAAAAGTCCACCTGTTTTGCTCTTCAGCGGTTAGTCCTCTATCCATACAAGCTAAAAGATTCGAACAGGATTCACCCCTGTAGAACCGTCTGGATCGGTCTCGAGACATGATTGCGAATAGAAATATTCACCTAAAATCAAGTAGTGTGGTGTTAAATAATTGTGCATAGGAATATTTTTCTTTATGGTAGTTTATTACGAAATAATAACAGTACTGAGAATAGTACTATTACAGATAATAATATATAAACATAATGTAATATAATATGATAATAATTATGATGAGTTTCAAACATAAAAAAGATAAAGTGAATTTGTGATAAATAATAATAATATTTTATATGGACATTGGTTTTGTTATCGACTAGATTTAGAAAAATGTTTGTTTAAAATTTAATTTACGTAATTAGGTTTGAAATAAATTGGAAAAAAAGGCAATAGGCAATAATATGATTGGGAACAACTTTATAAAAAACTAAATAAAATCTCTACTCAGGAATGTAGTCAATGGACAATAAAAGGTGAAATTTAAAATATTTATAATGCATTTTATTTAAATATTTTAACTATAGTCGATAGTTAACATGATAAAATTTCCAAAAATACTAAATTTATATTACTTACAACTATTTTTCAGTCACGAATTTCCAAAAAACGAGTACTACCACTGAGTAACCAATACGCCGACTTTCTTATGAATGGGAAAAAGTTGAAAATAAATTTCAATTCAACAAAGATGGAAATCGAAATTTTAGTAAGACAGACAAGGATACATGATAGCTCACGTAATGGCAACATTACGTTTCATGACGGCAAGGTGACCTTCAAAATACACACTTTTATTGGATACTGTCACGGATAGTTGTCGATACTCGATAGTTGATACTGGCCGTGCGTTCGGTATTTTGATTCGAGTATTTCGAGCTTGAATTTACCGTTCGTTCATTTAAAAAGTGTGTTCGGTGCAGGCTCATTAGCGTTTTTCTATTAAAATTTCGAGAGCTGATATTCTACCTCAATGGCTCTGGCGTTTAACTACTCTGCGCGCTCGCTGGCCGTGTGATTACAGCTCTGCTTCATCATGCTCTATTCTCTGAGCAAAATACCAAACGCAAGCACAATGCGTTCCGAGTGTACAATAGTGCAGGAGGACAAACCCGAACATGCTCTACGTTCTCTACTTTGGCTAAACGGCCATTTTGTGTCTATTTTCAGTTTTCACAGAAATCACATAGGTACCAGTCAGAGCGAATTTCATTGGTTGAAAATAGTCATGAAACTGGTTGTTGCCGATTTGGACCAATCAAAAACGCTCCGACTGGTTTGTGATTTCAGTGGAAACAAACTTTCTGTCAAGGGCTGCGTTCAAAAACGGCTAAAGCCGAGCCAAAATTGACATATTGCGTTCAAGTTACTAGATTCTAGGGGCTGCCCCCCCCGTGGACGAGTTAACACCGTTGCCAAATGTATCGTAATTCGTAATAAGTGGGTGCTAGTCTGTATATTGGTATTTTAAACGAAAATAGAGCTCTAAGCCAATTTAAACTAAGCAGTTTTCTTAAAATACTTTTAAAAAAATGAAAATTAGGGCTTAGTTTATGCTGGAACTAAAAAATATATTAGTAATAAAGCATCAATCAAAAATATGTACCTATACACACGCGTTCCAAGTAGGTTGAAATTCTTACTGCGATTGGCACAATTTCCCATTAATTAATATTTGTTATTTTCATTTATTACTATTCTTCACAGCATAAATACACCTCAAATGTTTCCTTATCATTTATTTTAATTGAGTTGTAATATTTTATCTAATTCAATTTTTGTAAGTTAACATGATCTCAAAGGAAAATAAAACTATCCGTTTACTGTAACAAATTAATGGCTATTTTATTATCATAATAATTAACATTTTTCCTTTTGTCTGTTTTTTGCTTTTTTATTTTTTGTTGAAAATAAAAGAGAATTATGGCGCTGTGGAATAATCTTTGGTACTGCTCCTGGTTTTGGTTTTTCATTGGTGAGCAAAGAATTTTTCCTTAGTGCTTTCCAGTGACCCATTTGAGTTACTCCTGAGCAGCTCAGAGTGCTCCACAATTGCTTTGCGCGTTCCAGTGCTTAGAGTGTCGTACACTTGAGCTACTCATTTCTGTTATCCCCTGCCCCCTCGTGCACCAACCCTTTTGCCTGTGTTTCATGCTCCTGAAATCCGAAATGGTGGGGGTTAAGACGAGAGCGTTCCAGTGCTGCTTATGTCGAACAGTTCAAGAGCGTCACACTTCAGGAGCATGATACTCTAACAATTTAGGCACTGGAAAGCGGCTCTTGTTTTGCTTTGTATGGCCTGTAGAGTGCCTTGAAATCCCCGACAGTTTTGACATTATTTCTTATGACTGCATTCAGATCCGAAATAGATTTTTCTAAGGCTAACATTGGTACAGCATCATCTTCATTCAGCTCCTGACTGATAGACTTAATGATTGTACATTCTTCAGTGGGGTTATTATTTTGATCTACAAAAAAAAAATGAACATAAATCAATGTGATAGTTATCAAAAATAAATGTTGTTAGTCCAACTCTATAAACTCTACAAAAACACACCTTAAAAAGTTACAGGATCACAGTACGTCAGTACATACTGGTATTTCGAAAACAATAATTTTCTAGAAGTTAAGTTATTTATGGTTATGTAATGTTGTTGTTTGCTATGCTCAGCTGATCGACATTCCGTGCGTTCGTTATTTTGGTCTGAGTTCTCCGAGCTTGACTTTACCGTTCGTTTATTTAAAAAGTGTACTCGGTGCAGCCTCATTCGCGTTCGTTTATTAAAATTTCCGGTACTCTTATACAGCGTTCAACTGCTCCGTTCGCTCGCTGGTCACGTGATTACGGCTCCGCTCAGCTCGCTCTACACTTTGAGCAAAATACCGAACGCAAGGATTGAAATAGAAATGTCTAATGTACATGATGATGCGCATGCGTCAACTCATGGCGGGGCAGCCGCTAGAATCTAGTGTTCAAGTTCGGCTTCAGCGTGCCAAAAACGGTTGGCTTTACACGTTCCAAATCGGCCGCGGTAAAGTAACTTTTGGAGGCTCTTTCAACTGAGTCTGTATAACCTTATACGAATTTTGATTGGATGAGACCAAATTCAATATGGCGTGGCGGCCAGGCAAGTTAGTTTTGAATATGGGTTTTTCATGCATATTTCAATTATTTTGTTTATTTGCAGCTTCGATTTGGATTATTCAATAAAATATTTGTTAACTAAGTACGTTAACTATTAAGTCGGGCAGAAACTAGGTATTTTTTGTGTTTTTTGGTCCATGTATGGTCGTCACGCCATATTGAATGTCACGTGGTTTGGATTGCATATTGAGAAACGGTATTTGGCGTTCCAGCAAATTCACACCAGATTTGCATCGCCGGTAGAAGGGGAATAGTAGGTTTTGGCATTAGCATTGCCGTCTTTGAACGCACTCAAGGTATTCTGTGGTCATACTTCTAAAGGTCGATTCAGACATAGCAGTGATGTGACAGTGTCGTAACCGGCACGTGATTTCACCGGCCGTAAACTCACAGTGATTTCTATTCATATTGGTCAGTGTTTCATCAGTGCCGTGTCAGTATAGTTTAGAGCCAAATGGAAATATTTACAGATGAAGAACTTTTGGAGATTGCACTGGTTTTGGACTAAGTAATGAAAGAACAAGTAGAAGAACAGGTAGAAAAACGACACTGGGTCCTATCATGCATGGAAAAAGAGAGGTACAGAAGGAGAACGTATAACATTATACGTATTCATGTATTTTAGTTTTTTTCACGTGGCTCCTGTTTAACTAACCGGGTTACAAAACGGTTAGAGAAATGACATACCGTTTTCTAACCCGGTTGCAAAGTGACGTGATGGATACCTACCACTCGAATTTGAGCGGTATGTTGCGGTTTGAAACCGCTCAAATTCGAGTGGTAGGTATCCATCACGTCACTTTGTAACCGGGTTAGAAAACGGTATGTCATTTCTCTAACCGTTTTGTAACCCGGTTTGTTAAACCGGAGCCACGTGAAAAGGGTTTTTGAATTGCACGTCATAGAAATAACCAAGGACCAACTCAATTTGTACGGCCGTGAAAATCCGAAAATATTGTCAGGAGTGCGTTCAAAGACGGCAATGCTAATGCCAAAACCTACTTTTCCCCTTCTACCGGCAATGCCAAATCTGGTGTGAATTTGCTGGAACGCCAAATACCGTTTCTCAATTAGGCAATCCAAACCACGTGACATTCAAGATGGCGTGGCATCCACACATGGACGAAAAAACACAAAAAATAACTAGTTTCTGCCCAACTCAACAGTTTACGTACCTACAACATATATTTTATTGAATAATCAAAAAGCAAAACTCGAAGCAAAATAATTGAAATATGCATGAAAACACATATTCAAAACTAACTTGCTTGCTGGACGCCACGCCATATTGAATTTGGTCTCATCCAATCAAAATTCGTATAACCATTTCTAGACTCAGTTAAAAGCACCTCCAAAAGTTACTTTACCGCGACCGATTCTGAACGTGTAAAGCCAACCGTTTTTGGCACGCTGGAGCCGAACTTGAACGCATTATGCCAATTTTGGCTTGGCATTAGCCGTTTTTGACGGCACTGCTATGTGTGAATCGACCTTAACGGTCAGAGTGCGTACCGAGTACTCGGAATGCACGAAGTGAGCATACCAGCTCAGAGAAATAAAAACGTGCTCAGAGCTGACTGAATTAACTGATTCGGTCTTTGAAGATGTAAATTTTGTGAAGTAAATTACACCTTCACAAACTTAGCTCCCTATAGAGGTTTTTATGTCTGTCTTCACTTTCTTCAAGCCCTCAAGGCCGTGTTCAGAAATAACGCACAGGGTGCGAGTGCGATTTTATGGGTGTGCCTGAATTGACAATTGGCCATTGGGCCCATAGCACCGTCTAGCATTTTTGAACAGCTAGGGCGTCGCACCGGTGTCACACTCACACTGGGTGTGTCATTCCTGAACTCGCCCCAGTCCTTGCGTTCGTTATTTTGCTCGAAAAGCAGAGCGTGCTGAGCGGAGCCGTATTCTCGTGACCAGCGAGCGAACAGAGCAGTTGAACACTGTATGAGAGTGCCCGAAAGTTTAATAGACGAACGCGAATGAGCCTGCACCGAGTACACTTTTTAAATAAACGAACGGTAAATTCAAGCTCGGAGAAATCAGAACAAAATACCGCACGGAGAGTTCCAGATTTTCTTGGAGTAGACCTAGCAGGGACAAATGAAAATCTAATTTCTACCGCTCATTGTCATCCGTCTTTAGTGTCATATCAGTGTCAAATGTCGATAAAAAAAAATTGTTTGCTATGCTATTTTATTATTGGCATTGGCCGGAGCTACGCGACCATTTCACTAGTAGACAATTTATCAGAAAATATAATTTGTTGTTGCAGTAGAAGCAATCAACAAAAATAATGTAGTTTTCGTCTCTCGTGTCCAATATCGCTGCAAAAATGAGCACGACTATAACGCCGGTGTGTAGATTGTGCCTGGAGGTGATCGCCAAAGGGAAAACCTTCTACAATATCGACCAAGAGAATGGATTACCAGCAAAAGTCCAAAACTTGGCCCAGAATATCAGGGAAATTATAAGCTTTTGTATACCTGAAGTGGTAAGAAAAAACATTTTCTTTACTTTGCTTTACTTTTGTCGCTAATCATAGTTATTGTACATAAATTAACATGCAGCACACAAAATCCAATTTTTATGGAGGCCCAATTCCTGAGAAATATTTCACATGAAATTTGATAAAATTTTGGGTGTTTCCTATTCAGTGAATGTTGCCGTCATGCCAATTTGAATCAAATTTTGTATCCAAGAATTGGCCTGCTGATAGCTATCTGATTACTCGAAACATTATTTGTTTATCATTGTTCCTCACCTTAGGCTCGTACGGACAGAAGCATTGGGCCCGATGGGCTCAAATATAAGGAAGCTGAAGCAGAATGATCCAATAACGAATGCGGAATGAGTATTCAAATGTGGACGAGTGTCCGAACCACAGGTTGTCGGTCTCTCTCTCTCCCAAGGCTAGACAATTTAGCAACTACGAATGGTGCTTCATGTGCCTTGTGCGTAGTGTTGCAAAAGAATCTGTATTCGTTCTGAGTCAGCTTGCTCATTCCGGCTAAATCCTCTAGTGTTTACGCGCCTTAAGAGCTTAAAAGACTCTTAATGCCTACTTAATGATGGTTACTTGATCATTCCTTCTACACCTTTTCCATAAGTATTTCAGAATGTATCACTTGTATTTCAGATTCATCAATTCTAGTTCAGAATGCGTCAATTGTATTTCAGTTGTGTAAGTTCAATTTCAGAAAGTGTTATTTGTATTTCAACTTTGTCAGTTGTAGTTCAGAAAACATCATTTGTTTTTCAGATTCGTCAGGTGTATTTCAGAAAAAGTCATTTGTATTTCAGTTTGGTCACATGTATTTCAGAAATCGTCATTTGTGTTTCAGATAATTTATTTGTAGATCAGAAATTGTAAATTGTATTTCAGAATTCGTCAAATGTATTTCAGATATTATCAATGTAGTGTATTAAATAAAATTTATAATGAGTCACCTATACACCTATCTTGTGTTGATTTGGGAAAATCTGCGTAGATACCTGATGATTTCTGAACTACATACATCTGACAATTTCTGAAATATAATTTACGTTTTCTGAACTACAAAGAACTAATCTGAAATACAATTGACGCTTTCTGATATAAAACTATCTAATCTGAAATACAATTGACACTTTCTGAAATAAAATAAACTAATCTGAAATACAATTGATTATTTCTCAAATAAAATTAACTAATCTGAAATACAATTGACGCTTTCCGAATTACAATTTACTAATCTCAATTACAATTGACGCTTTCTGAAATTAAACTGACGATCTCTGAAATACATATGGAAAAGGTGTAGTCGTTCACTGTTCACTCATCCAACATAAACTAGCCTCTGGGTTGCCATGAGTGGTGAAAATATTTATATACTCCTGGACAAAATTATCGCACCACTGCTTATGATGTTTATGTGCAGTAGTGGTGCGATAATTTTGTCAAGGAGTATATTATTAATTTGAACAAAATTTTCTATAAATACCCAAGTCTAGCAATGGGGCTAAAATGATTTAAGGGCAGAGACTGGCTCCATAATATGAAATGTTTTATTTGAGGTTGATTTTAATATACTTATTGTTTTCTTGACTGTCTCACCATTTCTCATAGTTCTGCCCCTACCTTTCCCAGTCTCTGGCTGTTGTTGATTCAGAAGTAGATTCAGCTAGCTGAGAAGCTTTGACATGATCGGCAACATCCAAATAATGCAGATGCTGAGTGTCATTTGCCTCAATCATCTGTCTATCACTGTGTATGTGTGAATTTGCAGTAGCATTAAAAAGTTAAAGTGTCAAATGTGTAGGTATAGACCTGGGTATAGTCCGGGCACTTTCCAAAATTCACCGGTTTCTGAACCGGTGCGATACCGGTTTAATAGTTTACTCACCAAACCATTCCAAAATGTACCGACTTTTTACCGGTTGAACCCGATCGTTCATTCCAAAATTGAGCGGAATGATCAGCTGTTTAAAACTGGCGAGGCACCGAATCCACCGGGAATTTTTGTCGGTTTTTTCGGTTGAAGGTTTATTGACACTTTTTTTTTACGTACATTAATTTAATTGCTTTGAATGAGCACTATTGCGCATTGTGTCTATTGTTAAATTGCTGCTTGCAGATGGCAGAATAAAAAAATGTTTGTGCGTCATTATGAAATCGACAAACCAAATACTCAGCTCACATAATCTACAAAAATCGTACTGAAAACTACCGTTTGTTGACTGTTAAAAATAATAAAAATACATACCAACCTCACTGCATCCCACAAAAAAATCCATTCCAAAAAATAATAAGCAACACCACGAAACTTTGACACCAAAGCGTTCCAAAATGCACCAGAGAGATCTTGTAACCGGACTTGCATCTGACTTTTACCGGAATTTTTGGACAGCTACCGGTTCATTTAACCGGTCAATTTATCGGTGAAATTTGGAAAGTGCCCTCCATCATTTTTGATTTCATTCTCCCAATGACATTGGATTCTCCAAAGAAATGCGAGTTGGTGGCTCCCTACATTAACTCCCTACAATGTTCACCCGTTTTTCCATATGCTTCACCTCCTCGCTCCTCATACGGAAACTGTCAGATTAAAAACGACAGACAATATAGGTATAACAGAGACAAGTGGTACCAATATGGACCTGATGCCTTCAATGACTTAATACCAATGATGCAGTGACCTGGTATATGAGAGTTTTTCACCAACATGTACTTTCTGTTGCCTATCCATAATTCAATTCAATTCTTTATTGTCTAACAGGAATACATACTCCCAATAATGAGACAATTAGTGCACTTAAGAGCGAACAAAAATATGAAAATTTAAAAGCTAAGATTATATCACACATAAGATCCAGAAAACTACGAAGGCGTAGAAGGGACACCCAACATTTTTTTTCTCAATTTTTAAAATTTCGACTTATAACTCGAAATTTTATAGTAAAATTTCGATAAGTCGAAATTTTAAATTTTCGACTTATATCACGAAATTTTACTATAAAATTTCGCCTTATAACTCGAAATTTTATAGTAAAATTTCGTGATATAAGTCGAATTTTTAAAATTTCGAGTTATAAGTCGAAATTTTAAATTTTCGTGTTACAAGTCGAAAATTTAAAATTTCGACTTATAACTCGAAATTTTAAAATTTCGACTTATATCACGAAATTTTACTACAAAATTTCGAGTTATAAGTCGAAATTTTAAAATTTCGAGTTATATCACGAAATTTTACTATAAAATTTCGAGTTATAAGTCGAAATTTTAAAAATTGAGAAAAAAAAAAGTTGGGTGTCCCTTCTACGCCTTCGTAGAAAACCAATTAGAAGCCTAAAACAAAAATACAAACAACTATGAAACTAAAAACAAAAATAACTAATATGTAACAAAAATGAAAAAAAAAAAAAAAAGATAGCTACTGAAGAAATCACATGAGACCCCATCAAAGCACAGATCCATTCATTTATTATTATCATTAGTCTGACATTAGGCGGTAAGTCCTATAAAAACTGCCACTTTACAATCATAACAATCAAACTTAATATTGTACAAATTTGCAATTCACATGTGTAAGGTCTCCATCCAGTCTGTTTTTGAAAGTGTTCAAGGATGAGGCATCCACAGTATCTCGGCTGAGTGCGTTCCATACACACACTAACTCAAGGTCCAGTAGTTAAAAGGTTGCCTGGTAATGCGAAATATATGACGTCATCTGGGGTTCCTAATGGAGATTTGCATTATTTATTCATTCATTCAATCATTTATTCAAAGTATCAACAGCAGAGCCAATTACAGATTAGTGATGTAATATTTCCGAAATTTATTTTTTCTTCCGAATATTTCCGAAATATTCGTATTTTAGTCAAATTTATTAAAATTTAAGTGAACATTCAATTTTCTTCACTGTAAGTGTAAGGAACTGTTATAAAATATAGTCAAGTTTATATAAGGATATATTCTGTTAAAAAATTAACTTGTAATGCGTTAAGAAAAGAAAAATGGTTTTATCAACTATACATGTATACACTGGTACATATCTTTTTCTGTGACCTTGTATTGTATTTTTATTTTAATTATTTTAATCTTGGTACTCTATGGCCTTGGAATTATTTTTGTATACTTTTTTTTTCCCCCCTTTTACAGCTTTGTCAACGAGAATTTTGTTCTTAGACAATAAAGCATTTTTTGACTTTGACTTTCTCCTTTTTTTAAACATTTAAAGTGATCCTGACTCGACACACAAGTAAGGTCCGTTTCACCAGGGTTCATACTTGACCTTGAAACTTGAAAAAAAAGGGTTGTCCTAGATTAATTCATATGACACATTCAATTTTTTGAGAAATTAAAATGAATGACTTCTGGTTTAAGAACCGACGAACGTTTTTGACGTCATTGATTTGTTCCAGTCAATTTTCATTTGTTAAACAAGGAAGGCAAATGCTGGTGGCAAGTACAAACCCTGGCGAAACAAACTTTACCTACATTATAACTAAAAACCAAAACAGAAATTAAGATATATTTTTATCATTACCTACTAAACATATTAAACATAACATGGAATAAATACATTTATATTTAACCCTCATAACATATATATGAAAACAAAGAAAAAAGAATAGAAAGAAAGAGAGAAAAAAAAAACAAAAAAATCTTTTAACTTAAATATGTTTCAAATATGTTTTAAATAGCTCACAAAAGTACTAAAGCTGGAATGGAAAAAATCGATGCTGGCAGAATGGGAATTAGCCATTTTTGCCACATTTTTGACATCAACTTTGAATTTAACCGGAGATCAAATTTAATTGGAGTTTTTAATCATGGATTAAATTCAGAGTTGGTGTCAAATGATAGTTCATGAAAATCTAAGATAGGAATGTAAAATCGGTTTTCCTCTAAAATTAACCGTTCAGGTTTTACAGCCTGTCAAAGTTGCAAAAAGTCAATTTTCAACTGTGAATAAATACAAAACAGTTGAACTTAGGTATAGGGTATGTCACATGAAATCTGCTCAGAATTTTACGTAGAATCCAAATATGCAATCAGATACAGGGTATTCCATTTAAAATAGCGACGTTGTCACTGGTTTAGAGTAGAAGCGGGAACACAGCATGGTCAAAAATATTTTTAATGTGTAGATTATGGTCGTTTATCCCGATTGCCAAATTTTCAAAATAATCCGCTTTTTAGTTTTCCATTAACGTCTAATACGCCATCTACCGTGGGACACCCTGTATAGTTACACTTTGAGATATTTAAGTCCATTGCATTTAGGTCACACCATTCAGCTAATCTATCCAGATCAGACTGAAGTTTCTGAGAATCATCCAATGATGAAATGGAAATATAGCACTTCAAGTCGTCAGCAAAACATAAAAATTTAGAAAATTTGAAACATTTTGCGATGTCATTAACAAATAATATAAGCAATAGAGGTCCCAAATGGGACCCCTGCGGGACTCCAGAGGGGTTGGGAAAATTTTTAGAGGTGAAATTATTTAGTTTGACAGCTTGATATCTATCTGTGAGGTAGCTTGCTAGCCATTCCAACAAGGTCCCTTGAAGACCGGCCGCCTTCAGTTTTCCAAGTAATATCTCATGATTGACCCGGTCGAACACCTTGGAGAAGTCAGTGTAGATAGCGTGAATCTCCCCTCCCTCATCCAAGACGTCTGACAGGAAATCAGCAAAGGAAATTAAGTTCAATTCTGTGGATCTTTTGCTGTAAAAGCCAAACTGTTCATCAATAATAGTCAAACTCAATACAGATCTTAAATAATCAGCAACAATTTTTTCAAAAAGTTTCGGAATACGGCTTAGTCTAAATATAGGTCTATAGTTGCAGATATCTGCTTTATTCCCTGTTTTAAAAATGGGTTTAAGGTAGCTTAACTTCCAGAAGTCTGGAAATATGCCTGAGGAAAGTGATTTATTGAAAATGATGAAAAATGGGCGAGCCAGAAGAAAGCTACAAGTTTTCAAAACCACGGGCGGAATACCATCAGGCCCAGGGCCCTTATTTATGTCGATCTTAGTCATTTCCTCATAAATAGTTGATATGGGTATTGTATAGTCAGATAAACAGATATGATTGAATGAGGCAACATTTTGCTGAGCAACCGTTTTCTTAGTGTAGACAGATTGGAAATATTCGGCAAAAAGATCAGGTAGATCAGGTCCAAGTTGACACTGGTTATCTTTAAAAAACATTAGGGGTGGAAGCTCGTTTCCACTTCTTCTTTTGTTTCCCCATGTTCGGTAATAGAACAATAAAAAATCAAACACTGCGCTGGTGTTTCCCCGCAACGAAACCATAATAAAACTGCCACAGCTCGTTCCTTCAAAACTAAACACGCCCATACGCGGTTGATATCGAGGTTAGGGCCAGTTTCTCAATAGCAAGTAAGCATAACTCCAGGGTAAACATTGCAACTGGACAAGTTTAACCTGGAGTTAAAACTAACTTGGAGGTGACTCGCTATTGAAAGACCGGCCCTTAGAGGTTAGTTTGACGCCAACGCGCCGCTGTTAGGTGATCCTGTGCCGCTGTGGTGAGGCGAGGCGACACGAAATGCTGGCGGGAAATTTAAAATCCAAAAATGCACGAATTTTTGGATTTTAAATTTTAACCGAATTTTCGTAAAGTTCCGAATGTTCCCGAAACAAATCCGAATATTTCCGAAATTTCCGTAATTTACGGGAATGTTCTAGTTGAAATATTCGCTACTCACATCACTATTACAGATACTGGGGTAGGATTCTCATTCTCATAGTTATATCTTTGTTAATTTAGAAGCAAAAAATATGTGGTTTGCACTGTTATCTGGACAATACAGAAGCGAAACTTTTATAAGGAATTTTTCATTTTTTATTTAAGCCTCCGTTTTTCGTTAAATGAAAGGTATATTTAAAAAAGATGATTTTTAACCAAATTTTCGCACAATTGAAACCGAGATATTTACGTTTAGTTTTTTCCGGCAATAAGAGGCAAGAGCTAATTATAATTATTTTTTCTGAATGATTATAAAAAAATACTCCCTACAATGACATTATTGTGCATTGGACCAATAATAAAGTATTTTTTTCTCTATACGGAGGTACCAATATCTCGATTTTTGATGATAGTGCCTTTTGCACAGTCTTTTGTGGACTTTTTATTTTTGTGGACTTTTTATTGTTTATATATTTTTTTTTATTTATGACATACATATTGTTTTTTTATCTCTGTCTGTGTGTAGCACTAGCGTAGCATATTGTGTATTTTTTCAATTGTGTATTTCTGTATTGTTTTATATTTTACCTATTTATTTATTTATCTTAATTTAACTGACATACCTACCTACTAAATAAAGGTTTTTTTTTTTTTTTTTGTTGTTGTTGTGTCCACTAGTCTTTGAAACCTATGTCAAGAAATGTTGTGTTAAATGAATGTATTTATTATTTTTGTAAATTATTGCCTACGGTAATTTTAATTTGATTGATATTGTTGACTTGCTGGCTTCTAGGTTTAGTTGTAAAATTTAATTTAAGTTGGGTTAGCTTTGTCCTCGGCTTTGTCAATAAGATTTTTGTATTCTTGGACAATAAAGCATATTTACTATTAATTTTGTATTACCTTCGGAATAAGGGTTACCTTATCATGAACTTTGATCCCTAAAAAATTCAGCTTGTGACAAAAAAGTGGGAGGTAAATCGATTTTTAAAGCGAATATTTCAATCCATTCACTCTACTAATATCCACTGGGTTACCTTCATCAATTTCTTTTTTCAAATTGTTAACACAGCGAGAGATAAGGGGTGGTTGATCTTTGTGGTAGAAATCCGTCTTGTGATGATGGAATGATAAAATTTTTTAATAGAATCTTGTATCCTTTATAATTATATTTTCCAGCACTTTATAGAGCGTGCAGGTCAGACGTGACAAATGCCGCGGCTTGCTACAGCTTTGCCATGTAATTTAAATTTGATTCAATCGACAGTTTTTCCCGCGCGTATCGATACACACCATGGCTAGTGCTACTCACATTTTTCGACATTAAACATATATGAGCCGCAAATAAGTAAACCCTAAATTGAAAATTTATATTATCTGCATATCAATATTTTTTTTTCTTCTAGGATACATACCTCTCTCTGAACCCTTCTATTTGCGACACATGCCTGAACAATCTCGTACAGATATACAACCACAAAAAAAATTTCATGAAAATCGAAGACATAATACGCCGCCACTCTAAAGTCAATCCAATAGGTAACAACTATGTGGACCTATGTACCGTAGTTAAACATCAGTACGCTTTGGCTTTAAAAGACAAAAAGCTCACACCTGCTGCTATACAAGCTCAAATGGGTGAGATGAACTTAATTTTAAAAAATGCAACAAAAATCGTTCCGTCTTATGGATTGAATGTTATGGCTCAAAATCATAGTGACACGGAACCCCGAGCATCTCCTTCTTCATCTAAAACTTCCAACAATTCAACTCCGTCTAAATATTCATTGAGACATCATGTTCCAAGTTTGTTGGCTGCTTCAAGCTCCCGACCTCAGCCACCCATAGATTTGGATAATCCACAGAATTCATTTCTTGGTTCGTTGAATTTGATAAGTTCCGAAAATCCTTCTGCATCAAATCAGGGATCAGCCCCCAAAACTGGAAATAAAAAAATGCTAATAAGACGAGTAATGAGTTCAAAAGCCAAGCCAAAGAGGAAAATTAATCCTGCTGCATCAGCAGATAACACTATCATTATTTTGGACGATGATAGTGATGCGGAATCTATCACAAATATTGTTGGAAATTCTAAAAACAATACTTCAAAAAGTGATGATAGTAATGAGGTATTGGTTATGAATTATGTTGAACAAAATGACACTGGTGCCCGATCTACTGCTACTGCTGATAATTCTAGTAGTGCAGTTTTGGATCCTGCTACCACCGATGTGGCTGAACCTCCCATTATTGCTGCAAAGCCTACACCGAAAGTAATACATTTGGGTAGGGAATCAATTACCGCCGTGACAACAAAGACTGGCGCTGATGATGGTATTTCCACTGCAGATTCTGGTACTCCAATATCAACTAGATCTAGAAGATCTGCTGCTAAGGCTGTCACTAATGTAGCTACTCATGCTGTTGATGATACAACACCTAAAGTAATGAATACTGAATCTGCTGATGGTGCTGCTGCCACAACCGCTGATGTGCTTAAAAATTCTGTCGTTGGTGCAGCACCTGACATAATAATGTTGGATGGTATGTATCAGTGTTTTCAATTTTGAATAAGCAAAACTTTTTTTTCTTGTCAATAGTCAAAAGAACTAAATTTTTATTTTTAAACAATTTCAGTTGTGGAATAAATGGTCATCCTTTTTTTACCAAAAAATCTGTAAATCTGTAAACATTGTAACAAATGTTATCTTTCTCCATGATCTTTTAGATTATGACAAAATTTCTAAAAACATCATTGCTAGTCTTTTTCCCTAAATATTCTGTATAGATAGTACACTGCAAATTTTTACTAAAAACTATCTTCACCAAGCCTAAAAATTTCACACGATAAAAGAAATCCCTCAATTGTTGTTACAGTTAAAGTTATAGATGAGACTTCAGTATAAGTTTTCATCAAGTATTGTCGATTCCAAATTTTAAAGTCGTAATTTTGTTTTATTTTAGATAAGAGTCACAAATTGACCCCAAGGCAGAAAACATTAGTTTCTTCGGCTTCAGAAAAACCAAAGACAGCCGAAAAAAATGTAGTAGTGAAATTGCTGCCGTTCGACTTGGAAGATCTTAAACGAAAAGCTGCTGGTGAAAAATGCCATGAAGAGGAAACTCCATCCAAACGTAAAAAAGTATTAACTGTAAGCCTTAACCCGAGTCTTCCTTATTTGCACAAAAATAAAAAACTTATAGTTAAAATTGATAAGAAACAATTTTTAACTTGTGAACTTTGCGATTTTGTAACTAACCAGGGAAAAGATGCAATAAAGCAGCATGGTCTGCGCAAACACAGAGTTTGCATGTTGTGCGATTATCAATGCTCAAGGTAAGTAAATAAATTAATTAGTCAACATTACATTTATATCTTTTTTTTTTCAGTCCCAATTTGTTACACAAACATTTCACCAATCACCATTATGAAGAAATAAATGAAATAATAAACAAATCAAAAGAAGAAAACGATACAATAAATTGTGATTTATGCTCGTATACAGCAGTTTCTGGTTTTGACTTCAGAGATCATATAGTCAGAAAACACTGCGGCGACAATGGAAGTACTGGTAATATAACATTGCAATGCCCATATAAAAATTGCGGGCAAAAATACGACCAGACTTTCCATATGGCACGTCACGTGGAAGTCAATCATGTTTTGGCCAAAAAATTGACCTGTGTGTTATGTAATCAGAAATGTCATTCCAAACAGGGAATCAAGAATCATCTACAATCTCATAAGCCCAGTGGAATTACATGTTTGCTGTGCGGCATGTCTTTCCGTTACAATAGTTTGTTGAGGACCCATGCGAAAAATAAACATCCTGGTATTGATGCTGACAGCAATATTGCAGGTAGAATTTAATCTTTCATAGTGATTTTAATTGGTTGGAAGCATTGACTTATAACCTAAAAGGGATTGGATAAGGGAATTGGACATGGGATACAGTACTTTTATTTTAGCACTTTAGTCTGTTTGCTGTTCAGCATTTAGATTGCTTATAATTTTTGGTCCTGGGTTCAATTTATGGGGGTTTTTGTCAACTATTTCCCTATGTTGCTGTAATAACCCACCACCTACTTGAATAATCAGTTAAAAACATCTCCATATGAAACTAATATTGAGAATTTTTTTATATTTTTATTTTTATTTTTTTTATTATCCTTATACTTGATAGTAGCTTTCTTTTGGTTCGAAATTTGGAATGGTTCTGGGATTGCGCAGAACTACTTGCGCACAAAAAAGATGTCACAAGTCACAAAATTTCAAAACAGTTCCTCCTTCAGAGTAAGAACTGAGAGAACCGTTCTAGAACAATCCCAGAATTGTTCTTATAAAAGCTTTGTTTTGGTTTGAAAAAAGGACGATTCTAGAACAGTCCCAAATAATCGCAGAGTTTATTATTGAAATTCTCGATAGCCGAGACGTTGTCATTTTGTTGATTGATTTACTGTGCCGTATGAACCGTTATAGAACCATCCTTTTTTCCAACCAAAACAAAGCTATAATTCCAAATAAACCAAAACGCTGTCAACACAGTTCGGTTACAATTCTGAAAAAAAAACGCGTTTTATAATATGCTTATGTGCAGAATGATTCAGAACTAGTTCTGAGTGAAACCAAAACAAAGGAAAGTTGGTACGTACAGGGTGAGTCACTATATTTTGACACCCACCTGCAGCAGTAATTACAGGTGATAGGTGAAAAGTGTAAATACAAAAGTTGTAGCATTTTATCTGAACCACCAGAATTTTTAATTACATCGAAAAAATGAGCAACACAAAATGACAAAATATGTTAATGTTCACTTTTTTTTAAATGGAATGCACTTTATTTTCTTTCAAATTCCTAAAGTTCTCGCTTTTCTGATTGTTTTTAAATAAAACGACTCGTAATGAGAATTTTAAAACTGCCGTGTTTATTTTATGTGAAAATCAAGATAACAAAAAATGCGAACGAAGGAATGGTTCTCGACGATACTGCTTGTGCTCGTTCAGAGCTTTGTCTCCTTACTGCCCAGCAGTTACAATATAAATTAAGTCCTTATCTCAAGGTGTGCGCATGTGCACTAACTCGAAGAAAAAAAAAATAATTCTACGAAATTGACATTAATTTACAAAACACTGATTCAGATTATATAATATATTATTGTTTCTTCCAATAGCTTTGGAAATATCTGAAGTTTAGTTATTCAAAGACCTATTCAAGTATAAGAATGTTTTGTGAACAGGTGACAGGTAAATCAATTCAATTCAAATAAGCTTTATTGTCCTAATTTTTATAAAAAAATGTATTCCTACCTAATCTATGTCAACAATAAATAATTTCGTCTATAAAAATACAAATATAAAATTTGAAACACAGAAATAGTATATTACAATCCGAGACGGGAAATGCTTCATTACTGGTCGAGAGGTTTTATAGTTTATCGAGACGCGTAGCGTCGAGATAAACTGAACCTCGAGACAGCAATGAAGTTTCCCGTCGAGGGTTGTATACTATTTTATTTTTAACCATAATTTCTTGAAAAAAAAAATTCGGGGCAACCAAATGAGGTCGGCAAATGAAGAGGAAAATGAGAACGGGAAATATTTCCCTGCTCCATTTTCCGTCCGTGGACGGGAAATGAGGACGGAAAAAATTTCCCGTCCTCACTTCCCGTCCTGGGACAGGTAATGGAGCAGGAAAATGAAAAGACAGAAATGTGACATTTTCAAATTTTTGAAAAGTCAGTAATGACAACATTTCATATATGGTTAAAAATAAAACAGTTTAAAATTTACGAGCATGTAAAATCAACATTAAAATTCAATCAAAAACATTCACAAGATCATCCGACAAACGAACGTAGTTTTAAAGTTTATAAACATGATGTACACTGAAAAAATTGAACAATTAACAAATAAACAATTAAAGACAGATAAACAATCTAAATTGTCCAAACTATTCAGATTACACAAGTCCAGGCTACACAAGACCATCAACAAACCGCGCTTTGGCTTTACCTGTTATAAAACTCTCCCAAACTATAAAAAGTTCCATCAATTAAAAAGTCTTTAAGCTTTGTTCGAAACCTTTTATATACATTTATACTTTCAATGTCATCCGGTAAACTATTGAATATCTTTATTCCTTCGTAAATTACAGATTGTTTTGTCAGAGTAGATTTAGGGATGGGTAACGGTGAGTTGTTATGGTAACTTTAGGCTATTGACTATGTCATTTGATAAGGAACTAAGACGTTAGTGGAATTTTATTGTTTGATGTGTTCAAATGGTTCATAGAGATGATAAAACCGCGGAGTGCATTTTTAAGAGCGGGGTGAGTTTGTCTGCTTTTTGGGTCTTCGGCTATAACTCAAAAAGTATGCATTTTTGGTGAATGAATGCATTGAGGTTTTTTGTAGAGAATTAAATTTCCTATGGAAATGACACCTTTTGAAGTCCAAGAACTTGTTTTTTCAACAAAATAAGTTCAAAAAACAACTTAAAAAAAAATCAAAAAATTTACTTTTTATTTTTTTCTTCAATGTTTGTCTATAACTTTTTCTGAGTTGACTTAAGCATAGGAATTGCTCCATGAAAAATAAAGCCTATGTAATTTCCGTGAAAATGGCGGGTGGTAGAAGTTCGTACGATACAAAATCACCGAGATATAGGCATTCAAAGTTAGCAACTTTTTTTCGATTTTTCAACTTTTTGCTATCGTATCGTGATATTTTCTTTTTTTGCATGGTAAATTTATTTGTATTCATATAACAAACTATTTTACAATAAATAAATTACAATAGTAGATGTATTTACTCAAATTCAAATAACGTATCCAAATTTATATTTAAGCATCGGGTCTTCAAAAAAAAAAAAAACAATCGAAGACTGCTCTGATTAGGAAAACGTACGTCAAATTATTGTTTCTTCATTGGTCAGGATTTTTGACATTAAAGTTCATTGACAAAATTAAAGGAAAAGATTATTTTTTTTACTACTAACCTGAGAAATTGTCATTATTCAATCTATATTTCTAGGAAAAAATTGAATTTCTCTCCCTAGGTGAATAATGAAAATAATGAAAAAATACCTAGGTTAATAATGAAAATGACGTCATGACGCAAGGATATTGTCATGTTTCTATTGGTTCAATTTCATTTCCATACGTCAATTTGAAAAAAAATACAGGTTTCTGTAGGTACATAGGAAGTTATCATAAGCTGTTGATAGAGGGCAGTACTTTCAAGAGGGCGTTCAAAAAAAAATAATTGGAGCACAGATTTTAAACAAATTTTTCATTTTCTACTAGCAGTAGTAAAAAAAATTCTATATATTCCTCGGTAGAGAAAGTCATTATATACCTCACTCATTATAAACCTCGGCGCGAGCGCCTCGGTTTATAAAAGCGCTCGGTATATAAGGACCAACTTCTCTACCTAGGTATATAATATACTATTTTTTTGAAGACCCGATAATAATCAATAAATAATATACTTTTTTTGGAATTGTGAGATTTACTGTCGTATGCAACATTCTCTTCTAACTTTTAACGCGACTTTAAAAACTGTAAATTTTTAAAATTTGTATGGATTACAGAAGAAGAATACAATTTTTCAAAAGTTACAAGGTTTTGAAACCGCTTTTAAGTTAAAAGAGGATGTTGTATACGGCTGTTAGACATTTTGCACAGCATATATACGGCTTGAGGACGTTGCACCAACTACAGCAGTGGAATCAAAATGCTTTAAATAGACTTGACGGGGATTGGGAAAGGTCAAACCATAGTTTAATACCAATACGGACGGTTAATCCTCCTGCCCCGCAAACTTTGCTGGAGCAAATTGCTTATGGATACACAATAGGTTGCCAAGCATCCTGTGGCTGTAGAAATTAGGAATAACCTGTTCCATGTTTTGTAAAGAATGAAGCATGTATTGGTATCAATTGCGACGACATTGAAATCCCAGACATTACCGAAGAAAACATCCATACTGGAATCGAAGCTGAAGTTGATATTGAACTCGAAAATATTTTGACATGATGTAACATGAAATATATATACCTATCGATTTTACAATGTATATAAAATAAATACATAAAAAGTTTATTTGTATGACATTATTATTCTTAAATTAAGACTAAATTATTGCAAAATAATTTGTTATTGAACAAAAATTGATCTAGCATGCTAGAATAGAAAATAACACTATATGAAGACAAAAAGTTGAAAAACCGAAAAAAGTTTCTAACTGTGAATGTCTATATCTCGGCCATTTTTTATTGTATGAACTTTTACCAGCCGCCATTTTAACGGAATTTACATAGGCTTCATTTTTCATGAAGCAGTGCCGATGCTTAAGTCAATTCAGAAAAAAGTTATAGGCAAAAATTTAAAAAAAAAAAAGTAAATAAAAGTCAATTTCTTGATTTTTTTTCAAGTTGTTTTTTGGATTTAATTTGTTGCAAAAACAAGTATTTGGACTTCAAAAGATGTCATATCGATAGGAAATTTTATTCTCTACAAAAAACCTCAATGCAGTTGTGCACCAAAAATGCATATTCACTGAGTTATAGTCCAGGAGGTGGCGCCAAAAACATGCAAGAGTTTTCGCAAGGCGGATATTTTCAAAATAGGTCGTACTTTAGTGCTAGAATGCTAGTGTACAGTCAGCACTCACAGTTCCTGGACAGCTGGCTCTGGGACGCGGGCAAAGTTGTAATTTCCAGAAGCATCTAAACTGTTTTCTCAAAGCTCAAAATTTATAGAAATTTTGCACATTATCTGTTTGAAGGTCACAGATAACGTATGTAAATCGTCAGACGTCTAGTTCGTTGCAAAAGGGGGTCAGACGTCCTCAAAGTTTTT